GATCATTCAATAGTTATTAAGCATTTGCAATTGAAACCAACAACTTCAGAGGTTGCCAACTTGGCTAGCGTGCATCTTCATCTTTTTCCTTTTTAAAGTCAATATGCTCATGCATATCTCTGCTTCTTGATTGTCTAGATTTTCCCATCTTTAAAGAAATCTCAAACATTATTTGTAATTTAACTGCACTCTTCTTTAGTTTAGATGTATATTTCATCCACACCCTTGACAGTGAGGTACAGTACCATTACCTGACAAACTGAAAAGTGCCTGCCATCATGTAATACCTACTCAAAATAGAAATTTTAACACAGTACACCACCAAACAAACACCCTCTACACCAAACACCACTATCGTCCAGCCAACTCACCTTCCGCCACAGAGAGGGATTTTAGCTTCACTCTAAATGCAGAACTTGATCAATGGCAATAGTTTGAAACCCCAAATAAAACTAGGTCTTTTGCCCATATCACCGTCGAACTCAACTTTTTGAGAACCAATTGGAGGCAAGTTTTCAGGAGGTCCCAGATCATTGCCTCTACTTAAAAACAAAGGATTTCTATGACCATTAGAACTCTGGGAACCAAGTGGGCTAAATCCATTGTCATTGGCTGCACCACCACCGCTTTCTTAGTTAACGGCGTATCAAGTTCGACATCTATTGCAAAAGAGAGGATTCACTTTATAGTTTACATAACCTCGTCTCTACTAGGCTGCACATGAAATGCCGAGAGGCTCGGACCTTTTGGATTATAATCCAAGTTGAGAGTATAGTTATGGAAAGTGGATCACAACCATGGTGGTGGGGATTAGGTGTGATAATCGAGCTGAGCTGACCGAGCTTCATTATGCTTAGCCTCTATTCGAGCTCAAATACCGAGCTCAAATCATTGTTCAAGCTCGAGTCGATCTCGACCCCAAAACGAGCTCCAAAATTAAATGTCAAATCAACATTTTCAAATCCAAAAGCACAAAACCCTAATCAATAATATGTAACCTAAAACATCACACATTCCAAAATCCACAGAGTTTATAAAAATTCACTCTTATTCAATTGAACATGCAATTCCTAATATAAAAAGTTGCAATCGCAACAAAATGGACTTATGAAGAACAAAGATTCGAGGCAAAAGAGGATAAAAAACAAGAGAGAAAGATCATAAACAATGGAAAATAAAAAAAAAAGAAGTAATAAGATACTGGAAAAATCATTTGTACAAATCGACCCGACAACCATATTATTTCTATTGATGACTTATGAAGAGTAATCCTTCTTCAATCTCAAACCTGTTGGTGACAAGGAACGAAGAATTGCTTTTCTCCGAGAGCTTGTGATAGAGATCAAAAAGGAATTGGATAAGCTTAAATCGAAGAATTAGATTTTATTATTTGTTTTAGTATTATTATGTTAGTTAAGGAATATATGTTTGACTATGAGTACTAGTTAGAGTTTGATTAGAAAATTATTATAGAGTTTTAATAGGATAAGAATTTGAAAGTTTGATTATGAATTTTTTTTAGAATTTTAATAGGAGAATAAATTTTATTTGGATAGGAGACTTAACCTATCTATCTATGTGGATGTAATCCCAACAATTTCATTGTTGAGTGTGATATAGTAAAAATTGTTTATCAGTGGAGAATTTTGTGTGTTTTTTGACCGATTCCTTGCGAGGATGAAGTAAACCTCCCCTTCTAGGTTTTGTGCTTGGGAAAAAAATAATCCAAATATATACTAAAACTAGCCCTCCCGAGTGCAACGCAAGCCGTATCACGCTCGTATCCGAGTAGCTCGAATCATTTACCAACCCTAGTGGGGATAGACGATAAAGGGGTAGGAGTAATTTGATTGGTTACTCATTTTGCCAGAATATGTGTATATAGATACATATTATGGAAAAGAAAATACAATGTCCTATTTTGTATGGTAACAGTTTATGTTAATGCCGTTAAAGACAAACATTGCTACGGGGTGTCACTGAAGTTTGAGCTGATATAGTGGCTTGAAGTTTATAGTAATTTAGAGGGAGCGTGGATGAAAATTTTCATTTTTTAATATCTTGGAGGCACTATTAATAAGTAAAGGATATATGGATCCAGAAGTTTGCTCATAGAAGCCAAGACAAGTAAATGAAGCGGATATGTGCTCCTAGAATATTTTCTAGTTATGAGGATTAGTGTGGGCCTCAAGTTTGATTCTCGTTGCAATGGGAGATTTACAGTATTAGTGATAAGAAAGGTAAACACGGGAAAAATGAATACGCAAGGTGTCTACTTGTCAAAGAAAAAAAAAAGAAAAAAGAAAAAAGGGAATCTGCAGAGTTTTTTCACGACATGATCCCTAGAGAGTTAAATGGCTAGGATTCTTGTTTCTAATATCCAAGTCCTTGGGGGAACATACTTTTGAAGTTAGTCTTTACAAGGCAAGAAATGATGCTGCCAAATGACCCATTCAGTTAGTTCATTCGTAAGTTGTCTACTTGTCAAGAATAAAAGTTCATTAGTATGCTGTCTCCATCCCCTTATTTAAACAGTTCTTTTTTTTTCCGGAACATATATTCCTAAAATAGTTATTTTTGTGTGTCTGCATAGAGGTGGGAAATGAAAGGGGGGAGGGTTATATATGAGGAAATATATAAAATTGTGCTGAGGTATTTGAGATTAACTTGTTGCATGTTGAGTTGTGGTCACTGAACTCGCTTCTGCTCTTGCTGGGTAATTGTTAAAATATTATTACATGCACATTCATCATGTGCAGCCATTGCTTGACAGGATGAAATAGCACTGTATGGCTCAGATATTGAGGGAATTTGGTATGACCGACATATATGGGATTGATGAGTTTGATATTCAAAGATTTCTTTTTGATTCATTTCTTCATCTTCTTTTACTTGCCTGCGAAAAATCACTGGTAAGTGACTAATTCTTGGTACAACATACATCCACACATGTACATGATTTCTGCATTACACTCGAGTGGTCAGTTTGGAGTTTGCTCGTATGGTCTCTCTATCCATGTAAATAGGAGATGAGCAAAGCGGGTGATAATTTTTGAGGCCTTGATTTATTTAACATTTGGGGTACTTTGATGGACTTGAATTGGGTAATTGTTAATTGATGGGGGTGTGTGTGTGAAAAATGGTGCTTTATATATGCAGGCATGTGTTAAGAGGGTTGAAGGTGATGAAACTGGGAATAAACATTGCACAGGGCAGTACTTTGATTATTGGTCTTGTGTTGATAAGTGTGTAAGTCTTCTTAATTCATTATTGACAATGTTTATTATATACGTTGCTACCCCGATTCATCAGCTCTTACTGGCCATCCTGTAATGCAGGTTGCACCAATACTGCTTGCACAGCTGAAGTGACTTGAATCTGGTCCAATGGTATCTCATTGCAGTCTGTTGTCAACTGGTTGCAACCTCAATTTGCTAATTTTTATTGTTTCCCTTTTTTTGTTCCCCTTTCCCTACTTATCTGGGCAACTTGTTAAATGTTTGTTTGGTTTGTTTTTCATCCAAAAACTGTAAGATTACTTGATCTCATGCCTTGGTAAACCTTATTTGTCCCAGAGCTGAATCTTTTGATTCAGAATAAAGGGAATTTTGTGCGACTATATTTATCTGCTATAGCAGTTTATAATGGTTGAGTTCTGGCCTTGATGCAACCGTAAAGTTCTTTCCGTTGTTAACATCATGGATTTTGAGTCATGGAAGCACTCTCTCCACATGCAGGAGCCAGACTCCGTAGTATTACTAGCTTTGACTGGAATGCGCAATGATTCAGTAGGTCTCAATCAGATTTTTTAACAGATGATTTATTATTGTCGTAAATTACCTATTTAGTTTTGGTAACAACTCACATATTGAAAGATCCTAAATGTACTTGGACCACTTGTGCTTTTTACCAGACCCAGGCGGCTTGGAAAAATAATTTCCAAAAAGATGTGATTTTTAACTTATTTCTCTAACTTAGGTAATTTTAAAAAATTGAAATGACTTTTTTATCTTAAAAATGTCATTTTAAATGATGTGGTTAAACTCAATCTAATCACACCAGTAAAAGAAGATTGTTGATTTTTTTTTAAATGTAAAACAAAAGCATTGTGCATAGTCTCGTCCTATGGTTCCTACATAAGACTTTATTTCTTCAATTTTTTGTTATATTGGATTTTTTTTCAAGTATTTATTTTTAATTAAGTTGAAACAAGATAAAAAATTATATGCAAATTGATGTTTTCACGAGAAAGATAAAATAAGTTGTCAAAAATAGGATTTGTTGACCTATTATATTATTTTAATAGTGAGTTGTTTATGGTACCCAAAATGTGTTTTTTGTATATAAATATTTATCATTTTTATTGGTATTTTTTTCATCATTATGATAATTATTTTTAATATATAGTAAATTTTAATAAATATTAAAATTTATAATAAATTAATAATTATAATTATCTAATCTAATTTTTAAAAACACGCACCATTTCTCGTTATAAAATAATTGAAGACAAACTGCACAGCGCCCACTAGGGCGGCGATGGCCCTTTTTCATAATCAGTACGTCTCTATCCTCCCATACTCCAAATCAGGCAAGTCTCCTTCAGCTCTCTCTCTCTCTCTCTCTGTGCTCTGCTCTGCTCTGCTCTGTAACGCAACCTTTCCAACACACACAAACGCACCCTTTTCGCGTATTTTTATCACTCATTGATCATCTAATAGTCTCTTCTTAGTACATCACACCAAGTTAGTTCTCTCCCCTTTTCGAAATTTTGCTTGTAATTTTGTTAAGATTATAGGTTAGTTAAGACTTTATGGATTGATTGGATTTTATGCGGTATAGATTGAGCTGCAATTTTCAATACGTACAAATCGACTATATATATGACAAGTGCACAACACGATTAAAACCATAGATTGAGCTTTTTCTCATCGAGTTTTATAATTGTATGATTTTCATTGCATATGCCAATTGATATAATTGTCTAAATTTTGTTGTATAGGTATTGAAATTTTGGTTATTTATTTGAGATTTGGGTTTTTGGAGGCTCAATTTCTCGTATATTGAGACACTAATTATTAGTCGAAATCACAAAAACCTCTATGGGTCGAAAGAAGCCGACTGGCCGAGAGGACGAGAACGCCGCTGCCACACAGGGCGGTGGTGGGAAGTCCAAAAAGAAAAACCTGGTTATTGAGGACGATGAATACTCAGTTGGGACTGAGGTATTGGAAGAACAATCGGTTCAGGAAGAGACCATAGCGCCAGCTATTAATAAAAAGAAGGGTAAGAAGGGAAATTCAAAGAGTTCGCACATCACAGGTGATGATAATGATATAGAGTTGAAAGATGGAGAAGAAGAGGATGATGTTCCAGTAACTCAATTTGGTGATAAAAAGAAGAGTAAGCCGAAGAAGAGTCGGGGTAACAGTGTATTTAGTTCTTCAAATTTTGGGTTACTTGGAGAGGAGCATGAGGATAATGACGAAAGTTCGGTTGTGATTCAAGATAGGGATGACGAGGGTGCTGGTAGTGAGGAAGAGAATGAGAGTGTAGTGGCTTTTACAGGGAAAAAGAAGCCATCAAAGTCAAAAAAGGGTGGTAATGTGTTTAGTGTGGCAGCGTTTGATGCGGTTGATGATGCTGATGAAAGTGGCATGATGGATAATGAGGATGAGCCTGCTATTTCTTTTATGGGGAAAAAGAAGCCATCAAAATTGGGTAAGAAAGGTGGTGGCAGTCTGTTTGCAGTGGCTAGCTTTGATGGACTTGATGAAGGAGGCGAGGATAAGGATGAAACTAAAAAGGATGAAGATGATGCTGAGGTTATTTTCACGGGTAAGAAGAAGAAGTCTTCAAAATCTTCGTCGAAGGTCAGTAGTAATTCATTTAGTGTAGCACTGCTTGATAGAGAAAAAAACGAAGATGCTTCAGTTTCTAAATTGGGTGGTGATAATATTGACGATGATTTTGGTGCGTCGGAGGAAGATGCGTCAGTTATTATGTTTTCTGGTAAAAAGAAACCTTCCAAAAAGAAGAGTAATAGTGTTTTCAGTACACTTGATTCTGGGCTTGGAGATGGATCATCGCACGTGGTTGAACCTGAACAATGTAGTGTGAGCACTAGTACTAAAGAAGCCGATGATTCTAAAAACAAAAAGCAGGTGAGTGAAGACCTGGCCGAAACTTCAAAGAACAAAAAGAAGAAAAAGAAGGGTGGAAGAACTGCTCAAGAAGAGGATGACCTTGACAGGATTCTAGCAGAACTCGGTGAAGCGTCCTCTATATCAAAACCTGGTCCATCTCCATCTCCTCCTCATCCTCAAGAAGCAGAGCTTCAGACTCAGTCTGAGCCAGTTGGGTCTGCAGATGCTATAGGTGAAAAGGAAACCGAAGAGGAAGGTGGGGTGGAGACCGCTGCCACAAAGAAGAAGAAAAAGAAGAAAGATAAGGAAAAAGAGAAGAAGGCTGCTCCACTGCAGCTGCAGCTGCAGTGGAAGAAAAGCAAGAAAAGCCGGAAGAAACAAAGACTAAAGTACCAGATAAGAAAGTCCCGAAGCATGTAAGGGAGATGCAAGAGAGACTTGCCAAGCTTAAGGAAGCAGAAGAAAGGAAGAAGAGGGAAGAAAAGGAGAAGTTAAGGAAGGAAGAAGAGGAGCGGCTTCGGCAGGAAGAACTTGAAAGATTAGCAGAAGAGAAAAAGCGCTTGAAAAAGGAAAGGGAAAAGGAGAAGCTTTTGAAGAAGAAACAGGAAGGGAAACTTCTAACTGGGAAGCAGAAGGAAGAAGCTCGTAGGTTGGAGGCAATGAGGAACTATATACTTGCAAATGCGGGAGTGCCTCCTCCTGGTGGAGACACTGGTGGTGCCCCAGCAAAACGACCCAAGTATCAAACAAAGAAGTCAAAGCCGCATCCTCAAACCAATGGTGTGGCCATTACAAAAACTTTTGAAAGCATGGAAGCGAAGGAGAACCAGCAGGAAACTGTGTCAGAGGTAGATTCCCTGGAAACAGAGAAGATCGAAGAAGTGGAACAGCTGACTGTGGAGAAAATGGAAGAATCTGAAATGGTTGAAGAGAACGGAATTGAAGAAGAGGACAATGACGAGGAATGGGATGCAAAAAGTTGGGATGATGCTGATCTGAAACTGCCTGGTAAAAGTGCTTTTGCTGATGAAGAGGACTCGGAACCTGAACCTGTGGTCAAAAAAAAGAGAAAGAATGTACGACCAGCTACTCGTGATGTGTCATCGCCTCCTGGAGCTGCCACCCTAGCCATTGCTACCCCGAAAGTCACCTCTACTCGACCAGTCAAATCTGAGGACGTTGAAAGTAACAAAACCATTCTGGAGAGTGGGCTTACAGACAAGAATAAACGAAAAGAACCTCCAAGGAACAAGGAACAAGCAAAATCAGATGCTTCCTCCAACCATGAAAGTAATCTCCGTTCCCCAATTTGCTGTATTATGGGTCACGTAGATACTGGTAAAACCAAGCTTCTTGATTGTATACGGGGTACTAATGTTCAGGAAGGTGAGGCTGGAGGTATTACACAGCAAATTGGTGCGACATATTTTCCTGCGGAGAACATACGGGAGAGAACCAAGGAACTGAAAGCTGACGCTAAGCTTAATGTCCCAGGCCTATTGGTTATTGATACACCAGGGCATGAATCTTTTAGTAATTTGCGCTCTCGGGGTTCAGGTCTATGTGACATTGCAATTTTGGTTGTAGACATAATGCATGGTTTGGAACCACAGACCATTGAATCACTCAATCTGTTGAAAATGAGAAATACAGAGTTCATTGTTGCCTTGAATAAGGTGAGTTACCTTGTTAGTATTTCCATTCGAGTACAATTGCTTTTTGTTCTATTCTGTAATTTTTAATCTTGGTTCATTGATTTCACATTGTGCAGGTGGACAGACTTTATGGATGGAAAACTACTCGCAATGCACCAATTGTGAAGGCAATGAAGCAACAGTCGAAAGATGTTCAAATTGAATTTAATATGAGGCTTACTCAGGTCATTTGTCGTTCCTTGTTTTCTATCAGTGTTATATTGTCAATTTGGTGAACCTTGTTCCAATTTTTTTTTGGGATATTTCAGGTCATCACACAGTTTAAGGAGCAAGGGTTAAACACTGAATTGTACTATAAAAACAAAGAGATGGGGGAGACTTTCAGTATCGTACCTACTAGTGCAATCAGGTATTCATCACAGTCAGACTCTTGGTCTAGCCTTTTTGTGCCCAGTTTTCACATTCTTCTGCTGCATAATATGAAAAACGATGTCTATTTGTGATGCTTTGACATTTTGATTTTTGGATGCTACAGTGGTGAAGGCATTCCTGACTTGTTATTATTACTGGTTCAATGGGCTCAAAAGACAATGATAGAGAAACTTACGTACATCGATGAAGTGCAGGTATGCTCCCTTCTTCTGCACTTTTAGCTGTGAGATGTATTGCAGATATAAATTTCTGAATGTGGGTCACAATTTTTTTTGGGGGCAGTGCACAGTTTTGGAGGTAAAGGTTATTGAAGGCCATGGGACAACCATTGATGTGGTGTTGGTTAATGGTGTGCTTCATGAAGGAGATCAAATAGTTGTGTGTGGCATGCAGGCGAGCATTTATTACTTTCTTGCTCCCTCAGATCTATTGTTATGATGGCTGTCAAAATCTTACATGACATTTTCCATTATAGGGACCTATTGTTACCTCAATTAGAGCGTTATTGACGCCCCATCCAATGAAAGAACTCCGAGTTAAGGTAAGGTTTTGTTGTGAAATTTTTACTCGCTTTCTCCCGTAAAACTTTTAGATATTATTTTGCTAATGTTTTTGTGTTTTATTCTGGTGTAGTTCGTTAGGAAAATTTATGAGTGATAATGGTGTATTCATTTAGATTTAAGCATGAGAAGTAAATTTAAGGAAATTTTGTGGACAACTGTATTAATGCACATTCCAGTGGTTAAATTCCCATCTCATTGTGGTTATGTGTGTGTCTTGATTGAATTTTACCTAGCTGGGAAAAAATCTCAGTCTTCCTAATTATTCAAGGTCTAGAACCATGCCAAAATGCATCTGGTGAGTCAGCATTTCGATTGGGAAGCTTACTATTATTAGAGAGAGTACGATTGAGCGTCTGGGGAATACTTTGAATTCTTCCATACATCCCCGCCCCCACAATGTCCCCATAAAACCAGACAAAAAATAAGTTCAGTCTCATCTTGCGGGCTGCTGTGCAAAAAATAAAGAAAGGAGAAAGGGGGGATGAAGGGAACTTGCTTTATCCATATCCTAGTTGTGGAAGAGTCGCGTATTATTTTGTGGCCTCGGGTCAGAAGATACACCGCCGCAGCTTCGAGTTCGGGAATTAGCCTCTCCAAACATTGGGTAAACCTGATTCCACACGGGCAATGACACCCTTTCTATCAATTGCTTACAAATTGGCCACAAATAGAGGAAAGCAAAACATAATGGAAATGCTCAGCCTTGTATTTTATATGAAGATGTAATGATTAGGCTGCAACTTGATTTAGATGGGTTGAATAGAAAGCAAACTGGGTGTTACCTGATATGTCAAACAACTTTTATTTTAACCAATAAACCCTATCTCATGGTTGCGTAAGTGGGTTATGTGGCTGATCTCAGTGGAGGTAAGTTTAGTTGGGTGGGTTATGTGGCTAATGCTCAGGAGAGGTAAGGTTAATTTAGTTGCATTGGAACTTTGACCTTCTCACGCTTTATTTTGTAAATTTTATTCATGTACACCCACCAAAGTAATTATTTGTCGAATTCCCTTTGTGTTATGTTCTTATGGGCATGAATGCAAGATTGTGATGAAAGTTCGGAGATAAATACAGAAATGAGCTGCTTCCAACTTTCGGCAGAAGAAAAAAGAAATATTCTATTTGTTCAATAGAATCAATACTAGAAGAAAGTGAACTGCCATAGTTTTTAGCAAGGGAAGAAAAAGATAATAAAAGCAAGAAAGAACTTGTACATTGTCATTCTTCAATGATTTGATCAGATTTGTACATTGTTGCTGTTGCATAATTATGCAGCATAAACTCTTGTTCGAAAAGGGAAAAAATCGAAGTGCCAATCCGAAGTTCCAAAACCCACCATGGAAGATTTTATTGCTCTTTATTCCCATAATTTATGTGAGTCAGATGCTAGCCAAGAAAGTGCCATTTTAGGGCAGTTTGTTCCCTAACATACAATGCAAACTCAGAGACAGCCTGACCCTAATGGAGAGAATTTTGATGGTTCAGCCCCACAAAATTTTAAAATCAAATAAAGTACTTAGGCAACAGAAATGTTGAAATGTATGGAGCAAGATCATGTAACTTTTCTTTCGAAAAAAGAGAGAAAAAGGAGGAAAGAGTTAAAGGAACTGAAAACTTAGAAGAGATTACATTTTAAGATGGTTATAGAGTGGAAAGGAATATAGTTTTTGTAATCTGTTAGTTTTTTTTATTTGTCTTTTTTGTTTTTGCAAGAAATGCTATATGGGTGATTTTCTAAACCTTCAAAGCCTCTGTTCCAGTGCTATTCAATTTTCTTCAAAACATTATATCTGAAGCCTGTAGCACCAGCACCTAGACCTTGAAGAATTAACGAAGTTGATGCACAATTAAGGAATTACCAAATGATTTTTGTTTCACTCATACAGTTGAAACCAAAAGTTATTCCCCATAAATGATGTGCATTTGTTTTTGTGTTAATTTTACACTTTTTCGGGAAGATTCAAAGTACTCAGTGAAGTATTGATAAATTTGGTGGTTGTATGATTTCAGGGAACGTATCTGCATCATAAACAAATCAAGGCTGCCCAGGGTATCAAGATTACTGCACAGGTGAGGTTAATTTACAAAATAATGATGGCACTTTACCTAACCTTTTTTCTTTCAATAATATCCGAATCTTCTTCCTTATAAAATATATCAAAAGCGAGTTACTTTTAAAAAGTCAGATTGCCATTGGTTCACCAGAAAAAATGGAATTGAGCTGATCATTACATAAACAGAATTTTCAGAGAGTTATTCTAGAACAACACCCCCCCCCCACCCCCAAAAAAAAAAAAAAAAAAAAATTCTCCTCTCCTCATAGAAGATTATAGAAATGATCCTGAGACTACTATGGATGTGCACTATGATGCTATTATCCCTCTCCTTTCAAATATAGACTGTTGAGCCCAATTGGCTTCCCTCCACACAACATTCTTAAACTTCCCTTATGGTGGCCATTGAATGCTATGCTTTCTGTTAAAATAGTTTTTATGTTTTTTGTTATATTTTCTTGTGCAGGGCCTTGAGCATGCAATTGCAGGCACTGCTCTATATGTGGTGGGGCCTGATGATGATGTGGAAGATATCAAGGAATCAGCCATGGATGATATGAGATCCGTAATGAGCAGGATTGACAAAAGTGGCGAGGGAGTTTATGTTCAAGCATCTACTCTTGGGTCATTGGAAGCATTGCTGGAGTTCTTGAAGACTCCAGCGGTAAACATACCTGTTAGTGGAATAGGTATTGGCCCTGTGCATAAGAAGGATGTCATGAAGGCTAGTGTCATGCTTGAAAAGAAGAAAGAGTTTGCAACAATTTTGGCTTTCGATGTGAAAGTTACACCAGAGGCTCGGGAACTTTCAGATGAACTTGGTGTCAAAATATTCCTAGCTGATATAATTTATCACTTGTTTGATCAGTTTAAGGCCTACATTGATAATCTCAAGGAGGAAAAGAAGAAGGAAGCTGCTGAGGATGCAGTATTTCCATGTGTTCTCAAAATTATGCCAAATTGCATCTTTAACAAGAAGGATCCAATTGTTTTGGGGGTTGACATTCTTGAAGGCATTGCTAAGGTATTATTCTTGCTATTCGTATTTGTATTGATAATCCTGAGAACAAATACCGAGGAAGGACATCCTACGTTAAATTTGGTGTCGGCGTCGGATGTCCTTCCCCAGTATTTGTAGTTGGTTGAATTCTTGCATATTTCATGGAAACAATCCTGGAATTTGTGGAGCTCTCGATACCTATTAATTTAAATGATGATGTCAGTATGAGTAAGAAAGGGTAGCTAGGAATTTCACTTGGTTCCTACAGGAGACTCTGTTTAATTAAGCTGAGGTGATTTACATGCTATCACCTACAAGTAAATATCCTGATGGTAAAATTTGCTTGTGATGTATTCAAAATAATGGGAGATGAGTAACATGGTAATTTCTGATTTTTCAGGACTTGGGCTGTGGTGGGTAGTAGTTTAGATTGAGTTTTTTATTTGGTCCTTACATGTGGTGTTTATTAGTCTTATTTAGAAGAAAAAGATATGGTGTTTGTAGTTCCGGTCCTTACAGAAAAAGAAGTGCGACTGGTTATGAATATCTAAGTAGTTTTGCAATTCAAGAGAGCGTGAGTATTGGTGAAGCTTTTGTAATGCATGATGCAAATATCATAAGGAGGTGGAACTTAAGGGATTTTGAGTGGGATTGCTGGAATATTCTTCTTCTGTCAGTCGATTTGTTATCTTAAAACAGAATTCCCTTAATTCTTTAGCCTTTCACCCCAAAATATAATTGCATTGCCACATTCTCGGTCAGAAATTTCATTCCTTCTGTGAAACATATTCAAATGCTTTCAAAGTCAACCACCCATTTCTTGTTTCTTACTATAAAGTATGCCAGCGTGTTATTACACTTCCTCTTCTTTTTTTTTTTTGTCACTGATATCTTTCCTACTCATTCATCATATTGATCTTGTTGTGCACAATCTTGTAATTTTTAAACATTTCATGGCATGGAAAGAATTGGAGTTTCCACTATGCTTACGTCTTTATCTATACCTTTCTATTTTTTGAGGGAATGTTTTGATGTTTTGGGCTGGAGTTCTGTTTTAATCACAAGATTGATAATATCATATTTTTTTATGTGCGTGTGTGTATTGAATTAGTTTTGGGTATTAAAATATTACCATACCTTTCTGTATCACTGTTTATTTGTGTAAGTCATCTCATTTTTTTATCTGTATTTATACAGATTGGAACTCCAATTTGTATTCCCCAGAGGGAGTTCATTGATATTGGGCGGATTGCATCAATTGAGAACAATCACAAGCCAGTTGATTATGCCAAGAAAGGCCAGAAGGTTGCCATTAAGGTATGAGACCTAGATGAGCACAATCTCTGGTATCTTTGTTACCAATTGCCATTAGCCTCTTTGTATGTCCTGGAAAATAGATCAGCGTGTTATATTTTCTTTTTTCATTTATGCACATGTGGGAAATTTTATTGAGAGAAGGTTTCACAACCACCAAATAAGAAAGCTATACGATCTTCTGTTGAAATCAATGTAGCTCAGATGTGGACCCAGTATCACATGAAAGAACAGTATAATATGTATGTAGACACTGACATTATAAATACTGCAGACTAAGACACCAACACTGGGGGACGGGTGATTACAAAATGCTGGAGAGATGAATATTGGTTAATATATTATATATAAGTATATACATAATTACGAAATACGTGTACCATATGGGGCAGATAAACATTAGTTAAGCCGTCATGTATATGCCCCTCCCGGACCCCATTAATGGGGTCTAAAGTATTGTTATATTATATATATGAATAGCATGATGTGGAAGATAAATCTAACAATTGCATAATTAGCACCACTAATTAGGTGTCTTTCTTAAATTAAAAAGGAGTTTTCTTATACTCGGAGTGTCTATTGCTACTTGGCTTGATTTTGCTGTGTTATGAAGGCAAAGTGGCAAACCACCTTATTCTTCCTTTCCCCAGTAAAACTTAGGAGCTGTTGTCAGAGGGATTCTGTCACATTTTGATGGTTAAAAGTCTCAGAGGAAGAGTTAAGGAGACCACAAAAGTTGTGCAGACCCACATGTGACCCAATGGAGTTGGAACTCTTCTGCTAATTCCTATTACTAGTGCAATCCCTCACTCGAGGAATTTAGTAGCTCCCCAGTTGATCTTGTCATTACCCGCCCCCTCACTCTGAAATGGGGGCAGCAAGATGTTCCAAAGGTCCCAGATGACTGAACAGTGGATTAACTCAACTCAAACAAATCCTTAATCCCAAAAAAATGAGATTGACTACATAGATCCTATTTTGCCATTGTGCTCTATGAGAGCTGTCCTTTTCATTAGACCGGAAGCTATCATATCACTTTCTACTATTTTGTTCAAATTTATTCTCTACCTCTCAAATTATCATTAATATATATCAAATCACTCTTCCTTATTGATGCATTATTAGGTTTTCTATAAATATGTCCAAACCATCTAAGTTGATTTTCTTTTAATTTAACAACTATTGATGCTACTTCTACAGTTTTAAGAATATACTAATTTCTAATTTTGTCATTTCTCGTTTTATCGTACATTCATTATTTTTGCAGCATGTAGTTTTTATAGTATTTGTTAAATGTTATTTGCCTTCCCCATATCTCGATAAAACTTGTTAAGAGTATTAGGGTAATATGTGTTGTTTGTTAATAGTGTTAGGGTGTTATGCGTAAATACAAGAGGGTGTATGTGTAATTTTTATTATTGTGAGTTAACTATAAATACAAGCGATGTATGAGAGTTAGATTAAGTTTTAACCTCTCTTTTCTCCTTAATATTGTTAATCTTCTACACTTAACATGGTATCAGAGCATTACGATCATAAATATATTCTGAATAAATTAATTTTTTGTTCATGGTGATGGTACTATGTTGTCGAAGCATCGTGGTGGTGGTGATACTGTTGTGGTGGTACTGTCGCTCGTTCTACAATTGGCTGTCGCTCGTTGCGCAATCGTTCGTTGTCGTCTGTGTTGTGGTTCTGCTGTGTCGCTTGTTATGGTGTTGTGGTTCCGTTGTGGAGTCATTTGTCATTGTTGTGGTGTGTTGTTCGTTGGGTGGTGAGGTGCAGTCGAAGCAGAGGGTCCTCTGAAACCCTAACCAACGAAGAAGATGAAGTCCAGACCCGGCTCAACCTAAATCGGTTTGGTCTCAGTTCAGCCTAGTTTTTGTGGTTCACACTGATTCAGACCGGTTCAGACAATTTTTACTTCGGTTCGGAGGTCCAGGAAGTCAAACCGGTCTGGTTTAGTGATCCAACGATTCGGTTCAGTAATCCAGCAAGTTAGACCGGTCTGGTTCAGTGGTCCAGAGGTCTCAGCGTGTCCGATTCAACAGTCCAGCTAGCTTTCCTCCCTCGGTTCAGTGGTCCAGAGGGCTCAACATGACCGGTTCAGTGGCCCAGCTACCTTTTCCAGTCCGGTTCAATCTTCCAGCAGCCCCTTTTCTTCTGGTCCAGAAGCACAACACTTATTGTTTGCTATTTGATGCATTGTTATGGAACCCAAGCAAGATACCAAGTCCCTTACTCCATCTTTGTCCCCTCCGACTCTTATTAATGGTCTCATGACCTCTGTTAAACTCAATGGGACCAATTATACTATATGGTCTCGATTTGTTCAAGTCTTTCTTCGAGGCAAATGATTTAAGAAATATTTGGTAGGTTCTATGCCTAAGGAAGATACACCTGGGTATGATCAGTGGGAACAAGAGGACGCTCAAATTATTTCTTTACTATTGAACAACATTGAACCTAATATTAGTTCTACTCTGCTCTACTTTGACACTGCCAAGGAGATATGGGATCACTTGGCCACTATGTATTCTGGTACGGATGATTTTACCCAAGCTTATGAGGTGTGCAAGGAGTACTTCCGGCTAGAACAGAGTAATTTGAGCATTGAGGATTATTATTCTCACGTTCGGGGAGTTTGTGAGAAGATGAAGACCTACCATCCATTTATTATTGATGTAGCAGTTTGACATAAGCAACATGAGGACATGAATGTTGTTAGGTTTTTGGTAGGATTGAAACCTGAATATGAGGCTATTAGTTCTCAGATTTTGGGTAGTTCTAGTCTTCTTTCATTGCTTAAGATTTTCTCTTGTGTACAGTGTGCTACTTTGTCTACTACAGGAGTTGATCATGGTGTCTACACTGATCGCTCAGCTCTTGTGGTTCCTAGTAACCATAGTGATGGTCATCGAGGTGGTTGTGGTAATCGAGGAGGTCGTATAGGAGGTTGTACGGGTGATCGTGGGGGCCGTAGTGGACCTCGTTCCTATACTCATTGTGGCCATGGAGGGCAAACTGTTGATTTCTGTTGGGATTTACATGAAAAATCTTCTAGTGCTACGAATCAGGATGACACCTTTGTTGTTGCTTCCATACCTCGGTCAGCTCCACCGGACACTGGATTAGTTACTCTTACACGAGAGGAGTATGTTGAGTTCCTGTCCCAGCAACAAGCTGTTCCATCACCCTCTATTATTACTTTTGCCCAGTCAGGTACTGTTTTCACTTGTTTATTGTCCTCCACTCACAGTCCCTGGATCATAGATTTTGGCGTTTCTGACTACATGACTGGTGTGTCAGATGTCTTTTCTACTTATCAGTCTGTTACTTCCACACATAGTGTTACTCTTGCTAATGGTACGTGTTCTAAAGTTTTAGGTTTTGGGAATACTCACTTGAGTCCTAATATGTCTTTATCTTTCGTGTTATTTGTTTCTCAGTTTCCTTTTAGTTTACTTTTCATTAGTAAAATTACTTGTTATCTCAATTATTTTGTAACCTTTTATCCTTCTTATTGTGTCTTTCAGGATTTCAAGACGAAGAGGAAGATTGGTACGGGGCATGAAGCTGGTGGCCTATATTACTTTGATTTTGATTCACCCACTCAAGCTCTATAGACCTCGTTGTCTCATTTTCAATGACATTGTCGCCTTGGACATCCCTTTCTCCAGAATCTGAAGCGCCAAGCTCCTTGTCTTAGTTATGTGTCGTCTTTGTTTTGTAAGCTTGTCAACTTAGTAAGCATCATCGTGTGTCATTTTAGTCTAGAGTCAATAATCGTGTGTCTAGTCCATTTGAGTTGGTACATTCTGATTTATGGGGTCTAATAAAGAATATTTCATCTAATAAATATCCTTATTTTGTGTCATTTGTGGATGACTATTCTCGTGTGACTTGGTTGTTTTTGATGAAAGCTCGGTCTGAATTATTTTCTATATTTGAGACCTTTCGCAAGGAAATAAAAACTCAGTATGATTGTCATATACGTATTTTACGTTTTGATAATGCTCGGGAATATGAATTTGATCTTTTTTCATCTCATCTTCCTAAAACTGACATTATTTATCAGACTTTTTATGCTTACACCTCTCCATAGAATGGTGTTGCTGAATGCAAAAACTGTCATTTTTTGGAAGTCACCCGTGCTCTGTTGTTCCAGATGAACATTTTTCGATATTTTTGGAGTGGTGTTGTTCTTACTGCTTGTCATCTTATTAATCGTATGTCATCCTCTGTGTTAAATGGGGAAAATTCATATTTTGTCTTTTTTTCTGGTAAGCCCTTATTTTTTCTAACTCCTAAGGTTTTGGATGTGTATGTTATGTTCACAATTTGGGTCTTGAGTTTGATAAACTTGACCCTCGAGCTACAAAATGTGTATTCCTTGGCTACTCCGGCACACAAAAACGGTATTGTTGCTATAGTCCTTCTCTGCAACGATACTTTACTAGTGCTGATGGTACGTTTAGGGAATCTGTTCCATATTTTTCAGCACCTGCTCAGCCTTTAGATCTGGACTTTGGGTCGTCTCCTGTACCCCCATCTCTTTCCTCTTCTTCAGATATTCCACTGCCTACGGTGTTATCATCTACTTTACCTCTTCGTGTATACTCTCGTCGCCCTCGCCCATCGATTGAGGTGCCCGTACCATCTTCCTTGCCGTCTTTTGATCCAAGTCCATCAGGTAATTTAGACTCTTTACCTAGTGTTCTTCGAAAAGGTACTTGTTCGTGTGTTACTAATTATCCCATTTTTCATTTTGTTTCATATGATGCATTGTTTCCTGTCTTCTCTTGTTTTACCTCACAATTATCTACTGTATCTATTCTTAAGCACTTATATGATGCATTATTTGATCCGGGTTAGAGGAAAGCTATGAAGGAGGAGATGGATGCATTACATCATAATGGGACTTAGGATCTCGTTCTTTTACCTCTCGGTAAACGAACTGTTGGTTATCATTGGGTGTGTACTGTTAAATTTCATTCGAATGGTTCTGTGGAGTGTCTCAAAGTCCGGCTTGTTGCAAAGGGCTTTACTCAGACCTATGGTGTGGATTATGATGATACTTTTTCTTCTGTTTCCAAAATTTTCTCTGTTTGTTTCTTGATTTCTTTGGTTGCTAATCTTGATTGACCCTTGTTTCAGTTAGATGTCAAGAATGCCTTCCTACATGATGATTTAGTTGAAGAGGTATACATGGAGCAGCCACCTGGGTTTACTGCTCAGGGGGAGTATCGTAAGAGTGTATGTCGGTTAAAGAAATCTTT